GCTCCTTAGTGTTTATATAAATACTACATGCAATTATTGAATCAACTTGTATTGTACCTCAAAAATGAGTTTCCTTTTCCTGGCAATATCTGAGACATAGATAAGCATCTAATTTGCTTTGAAATTCCTTGATTGGGTTTTAAGGAATCTCCCATGTCCAAATTGGATCAGCAGAAATTTCTAGATGAATTTTCACAAACTCAAGAATTGATGAATAAACAGTATTATTTCTGTGATCTCAAAGGAAATAGAGTATTCTTATCCCATTAATGATTTAGTGTAAGAGACTTCATGATGTAGTATGTTGCAGCAAGACCCTGGACCTGTCTTATATGTTTTTGAAAAGAATGTGATGTAATATTCTTCTATTACGGTGTTTGTGCGTCACTGTTTACTTGAAAAAGTTTATAAGTAAGCCATTGTTGAAGTCTGATATGCATACAGAGGTGATTGGAAGGATGTATGTATAGATATATAATAAAAAACTAATTAGGTTGACTATTTTAATTGATTCTTACAAATCTAAAAATGAAAATGTTTTGCAACAGAATGATACATTAAGAGTCTTCAAAAGTAATGCATTTTAATGATTCAAGTGTAAGAATAATCAGAAGTAATAAGAGCCTGAACCTTTAGAGATATATTTGAAATCTAGTATCAATATTTACAAGACGGAAATATTTAATCTCTCTAACTCTATGTTTTCATTTTTACTTGTCTCTGAAAAATAAACTGTTCTCCTTCAAAGTCAATCTCCCATATATATCTTTTCATTTCATGTATTATCTATCTTTCTTTCCTTGAAGATCAGTATTGTGAACATGTAATACCAGTGTGAACAACCCAAAACAAACTTGTCACCATGGAGTCAATTTTGACTCACAGTGACCCTGTACGACAGAGGAGAACTGCCTCATAAAATTTCCAAGGATGTAAATCTTTATAAGCGCAGACTGCCACATCTTTCTCCCTTGGAGCGGGTGGTGATATTGATCACTGACCTTTCAGTTAGTAGCCGAACAACTGTGCCACCAGGGCTGCTTGATGTGAACACAGTGTTTCAGACTTTTTATATGAACATTTTGAAGTATAACAGAAGTTGAAAGAATGGTATAATGACCAACAGTTTAAATTTTGCCATATATTACTATCTGTGACCACCATTCGTTCTGTTGTACACAGGGGTTGCTGTGAATCAGAACTGACTCAACAGCACCCAACAACAAAAACAACACTGTGTGTATCTATTTAGGTGAAATTATAATGATTGTATGTATTTTTATATGTTGTTATTTGCCCTCGAGTCGGATCCGATTCATAGTGACCCGTTCTTGGGTTTCTGAGGCAGTAGCACTATGGAAGATTGCCCAACCTAGGTACTTTTTTATTTCTAGTTTACAATGAACTATAATGATCATATGCTATTATTAAAACTGTTCCAACTAGAATACATTCATAATTACCTCTTATAGCCCCTGACATCAAGGAAAAGCAATTCTTAAAATTTTTTGTTTTCTGTCCTCTTCCTTGTATTTCCATACCCCTTCTAAAGTGGGTTGTAATTATTTCTCTCTTATGCTTTCCTTTCCCAACTATGTTATTGGCCTTGAAAAGCAAATGTAACGTGATGATTAAATGTTAATAAAGTTAAAGCAAGTTAGCATAGTCCCTGGTACATACCTAGTACGTCCTCAGTAACTTTCAGTTGTCAGATTTGGAATGACTTCTGCTTTGCTTCTTTTTCTTATATGGACCTTACTGGGCTGGGTTTTCTAGTGAAATTTTTTATTTTGTTCTTTGTCTGGGCTCATTTATTTCCCCTTTATTCTTGCTTGTCAATTGACTCTTCGTTTTAGGCTATCTTGATTTGAATGTTCAACCAAAATTTGACCTGGATTTGAAGTGTTTCAACAAGTCATTGACCTTATCTGGGGGAAAAGTATTGAGCCTATTCATTTTGATGGGTCATTTAAAAAAAAAAAATCTAAATAATTGAAAAAAAATTGTACTGGGAAGTCATCATTTTGTGTATTTGTTGTCTGAAAAGTTTGATATTAAGTACTATTGCCAAGTTATATGATTGTTTAATGATGTATTTCTGAAGGAGCTATTTTCCAGTAAATATTTTAATAATATGATGGGGCTAAACTTCTGAAAGAAAAAATTACTTACTCTGATTTTTTAGTACGTAGAGAAAGATTAAAGAGTTCAGGTCAGTTTTGAATTGAAAGCATTGGTTTTTATACATTAACTTTTCTCTAAGGCTTTATTTATATTTATTAAAATTTTTTCTTTTATTTAAATGAAATAAAATTTTATTCAGTTTTTCTTTTGAATAGGCAATACATTCACATAGTTAAAAAAGCAAAGCAATATAAATATAAACTGAAAAGTTTTGCTCTTATATTTTGACTCCTCCATTTTTTCTTATGTCCCAATTCCCTATAGGTAATTAGGTTCATTGGGTTTTTTCCAAATTTTCTTTACATAGATATAAGCAAATGTAATTATATATTCTGTTTTTCCCCGTACTTTCTACTAAAGATAGCAAACTATATACATTGTTTCGCATCTTAATTTTTTTCCCCTTAATATATCCTAGAGATCATTCTATACCACTGTAAAGAATTTTCTCATTATTTTTTTTGCAATGCATAGTATTCTGTTGGATAATTGGAATATTCTATTGATGTATATTTAGCGTTTCTAGTCTTTCACTGTTTATACCAAGCTGCAGTTAACTGTATTTATTGGAGATTAGCCCATACGGAAAGATGCATTAAGAGTTTACATCCAGTGGGGGTTATCATTGTACAAGAGTGTCTCTTGCCCTACAGCCTCACCAAACTTTTGGATTTTTATCAGATGAAAATAGTATTGCTGTATGAGTTTTTTGTGTATGTGTGTGTTTTTAAGCAAACTTATTATTAGAGTTAGCCCACACAGGAAAGTGTACAAATTATGGATTTCTGAGGCAGGATCTCTATGGAAGTAGATTGCCCAGTCTTCCTGAGGAGTGGCTGGTGGATTTGAACTGGTAGACTTCTGGTTAGCAGTCAAATGCCTTAAGCAGTATGTCACCAGAGCTCCTCAGATTAAAAGTATACAGCTTGTGAATTATTTAAGTGAATGTATTATTAGCTGTCAGTGTAGTTTGAATTTGCGTTACTTTTAATGAAGTTGAACATCTTTTCATATAATTAAGGACCGTTTGTGTTTCCTTCTTCTTTGAACTGTTGAGTTCACATATTCTGCCCTTTTTTCACCTGAATTACCGATCATTTTCTTTTTTTCCTCTTATTATTCTCATCAGTCTTTTGACTTTGCTTATAGTGGTTTTTTGGATTGGTTTGTTTTTGTCATAGTAAATTATTGGAGTTTTCCCAAATGAGTATTTGGAATCTCTTTCCCTATCCTTAGCTTAGGACTTAGTTTAAATGTCACTCTCTTCCAGAATTCTTCCTACTATCTTTCAAGGCTTAAATACCTATCTTATGTTTTCATGGTACCCTTTTGTCTATCTTTCTTAGCATTTAATCATGATTTCCATATTATCATACCTTTTTTTCTATAGCCCATGATGGCCAGAACTTGCGTTTTATTGATCTTTGTGTCTCTAGTGCTTAGAACACAGGCGGTAACATCATAAATATTAATATTTGATATGAAAGATTATATCTTCTTTGTTTCTTTGATTTTCATCTCTTTCATTTTACAATCAGTCTTATTCACATGACTTGTTGTCTTGACATTTTCTACTTTTTACTGTTATTTCTTTGAGGATTGTCCTAGGGACAGTGACTTACTTCTTGGACCTCTGTCAGAGGTAACAAATGTTTTAGGGTTTACTTCTCCCGCCCCATTATTAGGATTAGGGAAATGTTTTTATTTAAACAAATGATGCCATGCTTCAAATTCTCTTGATTATGTGTGTGTGTGTGGGGGGGTGGTATTACAATCTATTTTCTTTTTTGGTTTATTTCTACAATATAATTTTTAAAAACATGGCACAAAATATATACAAAAAGTGAGAGATTGGTATAATGGACATCTGTATATTGGTCACCAGCATAAAAAATTGTGAACTCATAGTACTTTAAGGTAAGTACTTAAAATGCAGTATTTAATGTTTTAATTCACTCTTTCAGGTCTTGGTTTCTTAAAAGTTGTACAGATTCCTGTAGGCTGTCTAAGGCTAACTTCTCACTCCAAAATGCTGATAATTATCCAGATGCAATTTTGATTTCTCAGTACATAGGGATTTCAACCTTTTTACTGTGCTCTGCTTTATTATTGAATAGCTCTACTTGTAAATTGAGCCAAAACGTACTCCTGAAGAAATTCTGATTGATCCAGTTTTAATCACTTCTCAACATGTGGTTTCAGGTTTATTGAAGACAATAATTAAGCTTTCTGATTAAGCTTTTTTTTTTTTTTTTGAAAAAAAAGTTAATTTTACATGACATCTTAAAAAAAAAAACCAGTTTGTAGGGGTCCTAGTGAAAAATCATGATATGCGTTGAATATCTTAAAGAAACTAAAGGAATTTCAGTTCCCTTACTGATATGTCAGTGGCTGCTGACAGTCTTATGAAGAGCCAGTGTTTAAAATCACTTCTGGTTTAAAACTTGAACACATTTTGACCACATAGAGGGTTTTTATCTTTTGTTATTAAAAGGTAGTTCATAAACTGGAATCTGTCAGTTATGGTCATATTCTGGTTTTCTTTACTCAGCATATCTAGATGCTTTATTTATGAGATCTATACAGAATTTGTTTTCTATCAGAAGTGGCCAGATTCAGGTTACTTCATTAATTTCAGTATCATACCCTTGTTTTTGTTTGCCATCAAGTCTATACCAGTTCATATGTAGCAATTATGATTTTATTGTTTTTAAAAAATTGAATAGCCCAGATGATTTAAATGATTCCCTTTTCTGGTGAACTCTCTTCGATTGGTAATGGCAAGAATGTAATTTTTCTCCTCTTGATTTTTGTAGAGCAGGTTGTTGCCCTGGATGCCCAAAATATTGTAGCTGTTTCATGTGGAGAAGCTCATACATTAGCACTAAATGACAAGGGCCAGGTGTATGCTTGGGGTCTTGATTCTGATGGACAACTTGGCCTGCTAGGATCAGAGGAATGTATCAGAGTTCCCAGGTAACAAAGGTGACCAAAAAGAGGTCTTTAACAAACTTTTATAAAAAATTTGTTAATCTGAATCATTCTATTTAATGTGGGCATTTATAAGTTGACATCTAATTATATTTTCCCTTTTTGTTCTTTAGTAATTCAGTAGGTAGATAATTGTCTTTAATTTGGGTTGAGTAGGACTTTTTTAATATACTCCATATTTTCTCCAAAATCTGTAGAATTTATATTTATGTAGGTAAAGAAAAGACTTGAGGAATACCCACTTTATGGTAAATTTTCTCATACTGAAACATTCTAGTTGGTTTGGTTATAAAGTCTTTATTAGGTTTTATTGAATATGGAATTTATCATGCTTGTTATAAAAAGAATTCAGTCACTTTCTACTTTTTACACAGCAGTGACCATGATTTTATTTGTTACTCATAAGAACAAAAACATAGCTAAGTGAAAATTTGAAGAGAAGTGTCTAATTTTTTTAGATACGTAAATAGTACACTAAGTCCTATTTAACTCAAACCCGTTACCATTGAGTTGAATTGTGACTCACAGTGACCCTGTAGGACAGTGTAGAACTGGCATATAGAGTTTTCAAGGCTATAAATCTTTACAGAATCAGGCTGCTTGCTGCTGCATCTTTTCTCCTGTAGAGCAGCTGGTGGGTGTGAACTGCTGACTTTTTGGCTAGCAGTTGTGTGCTTACCCACTGTACCATGAGGGCTTCTTGAATCACTTATTTTTTAAAATTACAGTTTCTTGCCTCCTTAAACTCTTGTTCTTTTTTTCAAATAATAGTTACAGGGACAAAAGAGAACTCTCCAGGGAACCAAGGAATTCTTAAATTAATTTTAGATTTATTCCAGGTGGCAGTTTTTCACATACACTTAGTGTGTTTTGTTTTAAAATTAGCATTCATTAGTTGGTTTTGGTTAAGAAATAAGATTTATGTACTAAGATAAGGGAGCTCTGTTAGCATAGTGCCTAAGGCACTTGATTGCTAACCAGAAGGCTGGTGTTCAAACCTACCAGTCACTCCTCCAAGGAAGATGGGGCAATCTACTTCCCTAGTGATACTGCCTGGGAAACCCAAGGAGGGGTGGCTATGAGTCAGGTGTGACTGGAAGGCACATAACAACAACAACACTAAGATAAGGTATGCTTTAGGGTTGTATTCTTTCACCATACCTTCCTCTGTATGCTGAGCAAATAATCTGATAAGCCTGGATGGACTATAGGAAGAAAAACACAGCATAACAGGATTAGAGCAAGATTCACTAACAACCTGTGCTATGCAGATGATGTAACTTTGGTTGCTGAAAGCAAAAAGGACTTGAAGCACTTGTTCAGTATGGAGGGCTTACACCTTGCAGCTGGACCAGCAATATCATAAATGGAGAAAAGATTGAAGTTGTCATTTTGCTTGGATTCATAATCAGGGTCCATGGAAGCAGCAGTCAAGCAATGGAATGACACATTACCTTTGGCAAATTTGCTGCAAAAGTCGTCTCTAAAGTTTTAAAAAGCAAAGATGTCACTCTGAGGACTGAAGTGTGCTTCACCGCAACCATGGTATTTTCATTCGCCTCCTGTATATATGTGAAAGCTGAACGATGAATAAGGAAAACTGAGGAAGAATTGATGCCTTTGAATTACTATGTTGGCAAAAAATATGTATATACCAGGGGCTGCCAGAAGAGTGTATAAATGTGTTTTGGATGAAGTATAGTCAGAATGCGCCTTAGAAGCGAGGATAGTGAGGCTTCATCTTATGTACTTGAACATATTTTCAGAAGACACCAGTCCCTGGAGAGGGACATTATTCTTACTAAAGCAGAGAGTCAGCAAAAAAGAGGCAGGCCTTCAATGAAATGGATTGACACAGTGCTTGTGACAATGAGCTCAAACACAGCAGTAGTTATGGAGATGGCACAAGAATGGGCATTGTTTTGTTCTGTCATACATGGGGTTGATACAAGTCAGAATTGATGAGACACCTAACAACAAACAACTGTTGTTACGCAAACAACTAGGATAAGAAAATGGAGGAGAGAAACGAACAAATTTTACAACGGGAACTCTCACCATTATTAGAAATAAGTGTTTTAACTAGGAAAGGCAGCTGGTTTCCTTCAGTAATTCTATTTATTACCTTCACGCATGTGTTTCCATGGAGTGTTCTACTCACTTCTGTTAGGTTGCTGTGAATCTTTAGTTAGAATTGATTCCACAGCAGTAAGTTTGGTTATTTTGGTTTTGTTTTTTATTGGAAAAAAAAAAAGTACATTTAAAGTATATATTTAAATTTTAATTTTGTTCTAATATATTAAAAGTGACTTTGATCTTTAATTTATATTTTATGTTTGTTCTGTTAATGAACTATTTATTGAAGCATTTGAGTACATCACTCCACATGTTTCTTATTGAACTTAGAACCAAATTCCACAAAAACTCCCAAAATAATTTTCTTCTCTTTTTTTTTTTCCTTCTGTAAAAACAGTTAAGTATGAAACATAATTCTTAGTATGCTTTTGATGTCTGTTAATGGTGGTGGTGGTGTTGTTTGCCGTTGAGTCGGCCCGACTCATAGCGACCCCTCCTTGGGTTTCCAAAGCAGTATCACTACGAAGTAGGATTGCCCAACCTTCCTCCTGAGGAGTGGCTGGTGGGTTTGAACCGCCAGCCTTCTGGTGAGCAGTCAAGTGCCTTAGGCACTATGCTACCAGAGTGCCTATGATGGTGTTAGTGGAGGAGATTTCTTCCTTAAGCTAAGTAAATTGAATTGTTTTAGTTTAATTTCAGTTTCTTTCAGAAAATTTGCAACCAGATGGTTGTTGATTAGATAATATAAAATGTTCATAGAAACACAGTGACCTCACATTTGACAAAGCCTCTACTGCTTTTATTTTTTTCTCATGAGTAATTTTTATTGTGGAAAGGGATTTTTAATTAAGATTTAAAGCATTTTTAGGATTGAAAAGAGACTTAATGTGTTAGATCTTCTAAGTCATTATTCCCAAAACCATGATGCTCAGAGCAAAGCTTTCTAGTTTCTCTGATTTTTAATCCTACCTCTTAATTCTCTTCCTTAAAATTTTCATTGCTCTTCATTTTCAGTGTAAGGGATTTCAGTTTGTAATATGTAGATGATGAATAATTGGAAACAAAGGTAATTTTAAAAGGAAAATTACATTGTGTGTAATTTTTACTTATGAAATATATTGTGTATATTTTATTTATTTATTTATAAAGGTTGCCCAATAATAAATTATGTATTTGTGACTTGACTATTTTATGAACCTAGATGGGGACCTGGGTCATATCTTATTTGTGTCCCCTGGTTTAAGCTTCTCTATTTTTTGTTGGCTGAACACACCTGTATCATTTTTAAGCTGTGTGTTAAGCCATTTCTGTTCATCAGCCTCTTCAGTTTTCCATGATATTCTGGATTTTTCTTATTGTCACATATACACAATTTTCACTTTAAAAATTGACTTAGTATTTCAGTACCAAATCATTTTCAGATATAAGTAAGGCTTATTCCTATGTGCTTAGAGGCACCAGTGAACTTTGTAAGTTTCACTTATATTATTAATAAAACATATTTAGACGACAGGAAGATACTCAAATATCTGTAAACAGATTTCTAAAATTTAGTGTTTATAGATTTTCATAAGAGTATTCAGAAAAGTGAGAATTCACATTAGGCTGTATTTTCTTAATAAGAAAGCCCATTTTTATCCCAATAGTTAAGAGTGTTGAAATTAAAGATATACTTTAAAGTTAAAAAAAGAATGTGAAATTAATAATAAAAAGGCTTTATCTGAACTCTTAGTAGTTTGATAATTAATTTTTGTTTAGTTCTAATTTGGTTGTCCACATAAACCTCTGAGAAACAATTATTAGCAATATAATTGTAGTTTATTTTTAAAAATTGTTTCTTCATTGTGTGTAATAAAAATTGTGAACAGAATGATACAGCTGTTTCTAGACTATAGAAACTAGTTAAACATGTTTGTTTGAAATTAATTTTCTTGATTCTACCCAATTTTAATTAGGTTATGATTTCTGCCTAATTTTAGCATCTGAAAATTCATAACATTTTAGAGTAAAAAGAAAAATTTTAGAATATTTCTTAATGGTAGAGTCTGTAGATCAGTTGTAAACCTACATTTTTCAAATCTGAAAAAAAATTGATGTTAATTAAAACCTTTCTTAAATGATTAGTAAAGTCATGGCAGGAAAATGACTTTTTCTTAGGTTTGAAAATCTGAAGGTACAGATGCATTTGGATTATGTTAGTAATAGCAGTACAACTCTCAGATTTTGTAGTTAAGAACATAAATGCACTAAATAAAAATATTTTTAATACAGTAATGTAGAATTAGAGTAACTCTCCTTTCTCCTGCTCAAAATTTGATTTGCTGAAGCTGTCTCCCGAAAATCAAGGGTATCAACCCTCTGGTCAGAACTTGCTCCGGACTCCCATATGGCAGAATCAGGTCAGGTGGCAGTTTCAGGTAAAGGGAAATAAGAAACATACTATGTTCCCCTCCCCCCTTTTTTTTCCTTGGGGAAAAAAAATCATTCAGGAAAAATAGTAGAATGACTAGGAGAAAGGGAATAATATAAGAAGAACACAGAATGATTGCTACACAGTTCCTTAATTTTTGTGATTTACAAATTAGCCTTTAGAAAAAATCAGGAAAGGAAAACAAGGAGCTACAAAAATATAAGGTGAAAACACAAGGTGACAGAAATAAAACTGAACAAATCAGTGATTATAATAAAAATGAATTGATTAAATTTCCATAGTAAAAAGAAAAACTAAGTTGTGTTTCACTGATTTAGATTTAAAAGGAAAAGATAGCCTGCGAGGAATTAGTAAATTATGTTTCATAATTTGTGAATTGTAAACAACACAGAAGTCCCCATTGTTTCTGAAGAGGAGAACATGTATTAAACTAGGCAAAAGATCAATTTTAGACATTATTAATTGATGTATATCTGTTTTACAAATATATTGCAAATTTGAAATTTTAAAGTAATTAAAAATTTTTTTGATGATGTGTGGATTATGAGAGCACTCTGAGGAGTACTGGAGATGTGAACATAGCTCACTTTGCTTAAATACTATCTTTTCAAGGTGTGTTGTCACTCACACTTCTTAATTATTTTTTTCCTATCTGGATCTTGTTGTTGTTTATTTTGCTTTTAGTATACATTTTTGGTAAATTGGGCTTATATGAGAAAAATAGCATGACCTGCTAGGTCACTAGTTTCACAATAAATAGTTTTATTGATTAGATATTTAAGATCCATAGTTTAAATGAAATTAACTGATCCATATCTCTTCTTATTTTCTAGAAATATTAAAAGTTTGTCAGATATCCAGATAGTACAGGTTGCTTGTGGTTACTATCATTCACTTGCACTCTCCAAAGGTAAGCATTGTTTTTATTTTCCTTCCCTTTTTCAGTTTCGTTGTGTCATAATTTAAATGAGCAGAAAGTCTCCCAACTTTGTTTTTCTGCTTGATCCTTTCAGGTCCATATAAATTTTAGAATTAGCTTGTCAGTTTTCACAAACAGAAAAAAAGAGTCTTTCAATTCTTGAGCATGCTATATTCATTCATTTAATAAATGTGCTCTAAGGGGTTTGTTTTCTGCAGAGAGGTCTTATACATCCTTTATTAGATTTTTACTTAGGTATTTGATGTTTTTTGTTGTTAACTGTTAATGATAACATTTTTAAAATTTCATTTTTAATTATTACTATATGTAGCCATAATTATTCTTTAGTCTGGTAAAAATTATTCTGTCATAGATTGGGATGATTGCAGCTTTCCAAATCTCATTTAATTTCACAAATAAACATTTTATGAGTAAAGACACACAAAAATCAATGCAATCTATTAGCTTATTTGACTTCTTAATATGCCAGCTAAGGGTAGGAACATGGATTAATAAAGAACCTGCCACATGTTTTTCTTTTTTAATCATTTTAACAAATGAGGTCCATTGGCTTTGTTGTTATTATTATTTTTTAATTTAATAAAGTCAAGTAAGTGGCTAAGGCACTTGACTGCTAACCAGAAGGCTGGTGGTTCAAACCCACCAGCCACTCCTCAGAAGAAGATGGGGCAGTCTACTTCGATAGTGATACTGCCTCAGAAACCCAAGGAGGGGTTGCTATGAGTTAGGTCCGACTCGACGGCACATAACAACAACAGTAAGTTTATTATGCATAAAACACTAGGCTAAAGTTGTTGGGAAATACAAATAAATGAAAAGACAGTTTTGGGGAACATATTCTGTAGTGGAAGAGGCAGATATTCCAAATAATTAACTGTAGTTAGAGACAGGAAAAAAAAGGTCCATACTGCTTTGGTCAAGGTAATGTAAAATGCTGTGGAAATGAAGAAAAAGGTATAATTAGTTGTACTCAGTAGAATTGTTAACAATAAGGAGGGAATTGGTATTTGGTGCAAGTCTTGAAAAATGAGTAAGTAGGTTTTATTAAGAATTAGAGAAATATTGAGGTTAGTGCTTGGCTAACTGAAAGGTCAGAGATTCAACCCCACCAGCTGCTCCATGGGAGAAAGATGTGGCAGTCTGCTTCTGTAAAGATTACAGCTTTGGAAACCCATAGGGTCACTATGAGTCAGAATCAACTCGACAGCAACAGGTTTGGTTTTTTGCTTAGTGTGAAATAGACACACTGTGTTATGTTATAGACTGGATATACAGTCTATAACAATAGTAAGCAATACACTCCTGGCCCTCATGCTATCTTGTTGTGTTACATGCCATCAAGTTGGCTCTGATCCATATTAATCGTATATACAACAGAACAAAACACTGCCCAGTCCTGTGCCATCCTCACAATCCTCCTTATGTTTGAGCCCATCATTCAGCCACTATTCCAATCTATCTCATTCAGGGTCTGTAGTCATAACAAATAACTGTGTAATCACATACAATTATAGGGGCTTCAAAGAAAAAGTTTTAGGGTATTTAGAACATATAATAGGGGACTGGACTTAATCTGGGGAGATCAAGGAAAGCTTCCTGTAGGAAGAGACTGTAAGTGTACTAGACAAAGATAGGAAAAGGTTTAAGCAGAGGAAACGTGTGTGAGAAATGGACATTGGGGAATCTAAAGGAAATCAAGTATGGCCAGAGCATAGTAAGTAAGGGAGGAGACTGAAATGAGATTGAAAATAATACATAGATTATACAGGGCCTTATGGGTGTTATTAAGGAGCTCTGGTGGCATATTGGATAAGGCTTTGGGCTGCTAACCAGATGGTCAGTGGTTCAAACCCATCAGCTGCTCTGTGGAAGGAAGATGGGGCAATGTGCTTCTGTAAAGATTTACAGCCTCGGAAACCCAAAAGGGGTCGCTATGAGTCAGAATCAACTTGATGGCAGTGAGTTTATTTTTTTCAGTTTATAGGTGTTTTTAAGCATGTTTATGTTAAGAACAATGAGAAGGCCCTTAGGTATTTTTTATTATAGGTGAGCGACATTATCAATTGCCTTTTTATAAAATCTGTTTGCATATATAGAAGTGTCTGCTTATAATATGCATAGAACATTTCTAGAAGGACATACCAGTAATTGGTAAGAGAGGTTCTTTCTTGGGAGGGGATCAGGGATCTAATTTTGTGTGAGGACTTACTATTTTCTGGTATGAATTTTTAAAAATCAGGATAATCAGGTATTAGTTTGGTAAAAATATGTATAAAGTTCCAAAATAGGGCAGCAGTAGGGCAACAAAACTGACAGCAGGGAGAACTATTATAGGAACCAATTGAATGGTGAGTAAATCTATTGATGTCATTTTTTTTTTTATAGAAAACGAAGTATATAATTTAGGGGTGAATTGGATGCCTATGAGGTAAAGGGAGAGGTGTATTAAGGATGATTCTCTTGGTTTATGACTTGTGCTGCTGAATCAGTTATGACATTTACAGAGATGAGGGGGAACACTAGGAGAGGTCCAGTTAGGGAAAGTGGGGAGAGGGTCAAGAATTCAGTTTGAGGCACTCTGAGTTAGAAGTACTTTTAAAATATACAAATGGAGATGTGAGGTAAACAATTGGGTAACTAGATTTATTCCTCAGAGGAGAGGTCTGGGCTGGTGATAAAATTTTAAACTTCATCAGTATATGGTTGATAACTGAAGCCTTTACTTTGGATAAGTACTCTTAGAAGAGAATAACAGAAAAAAAGATTTGAGGAGTACTGTATTAAAGAGACACTCCTTTCTTGAGGCACATAAAGAAAAGAGATTACCCACTGTTAAGTGACTTACTCATTAATCAGTATCCTAAACACCAAACCCAACCCATTGTTGTTGGGTGAATTTGAACTCAAAGCAATCCTACAGCACAAAGTAGAACTGCCACAGGTTTCCAAGGCTGTAATCACCTTGTCTGTCAGTTTGTCATAATGTGGTGGATTGCATATAGCGTGAGGCTGGCGGCTATGCCACCAGCATTTCAAATAACAGCAGAGTTCCCCAGAGTGGTGGACAGGTTTCAGCAGAGCTTTCAGACTAAGACTGGGAAGAAGGACAGGGCCATCTACTTCTGAAAAAATTGGCCTGTGAAAACCTTACAGCTGTTGTTTTGTTCCACTGAGTCAGACCCAACTCATAGCGACCCCTCCTTGGGTTTCCAAGGTGGTATCACTGTGGAAGTAGACTGCCCAACCTTCCTTCCGAGGCATGGCTGGTGGGTTTGAACTGCCAGCCTTCTGGTTCGCCATCAAGTGCCTTAGGCACTATGCTACAAGAGCTCCTGTGAAAACCTTATAAATAGCAGTGAAATACTGTCTGATATATAATGGGAAAACTTCAAGAATAGCCCTGAAACATTGTCTGATACAGTGCCAGAAGATGAAACCCTTAGGTTGGAAGGTAATCAAAATATGACTGGGCAGGAGCTGCCTCCTCAAAGTATAGTTGACCTTCATTATGTGGATGGAATAAACGTTTGGGACCTTCATTTGATGATATGGCACGACTCAAAATTAGAAGAATCAGCTGCAGACATCCATTAATAATCAGAATGTGGAATGTATGAAGTATGAATCTAGGAAAACTGAAAGTTTTAAAAAATGAAATGGAACACATAAAGATCACTGCCCCAGACTTTAGTGAGCTGAAATGGACTGGAATTGGCCATTTTGAATCAGATAATCATATGGTATATTATGCTGGGAATGACAGATTGCAGAGGAGTGGCGTCACATTCATTGTCAAATAAACTGTTTTCAAGATCTATCTAAAAGTACAGTGCTGTCAGTGATATTATAATATACACATACTTGTGTGTTAGTTCAGTTTGCGTGTCAACTTTGCTGGGCCTGGTTGAGTAGCTGGGCAGCTGGATGTATTCCCCATGACGAGACTGGTAATCAACTCCATGGTGGAATCTACTGTGAGCAGCTGAGTAGCTGCCTTAGGGAGTGTGGTCTGCTTCCTGTATATAACAGAAGGCTTGGGGAATGGTCTCTAGCTTATGGCACACATGGACCCAGCATGTAGCCATGTTGTTCAGCAGCTCGCCATGCTCTGCAGACCTTGGAACTTAGAGTGGACTTAATGGCCTCTTGAGTGGTTTGGTAACATCAGGACTGTGCCATTTTATTTGTCAACATTGGGCTTGTTAGCCTCAGCAGCCAGTAGCTGCCTGAGTGAAGACATGCCTCCAGCTTCAGTGGACTGGGAGCTGAGCTGAAAGCCAAGGTTGAGGGGCTTTCACACAGCCCCTAGAGCCGGGCACTTTGAACTCAGTCTTCTAGCCTCCCAAACTGTAAGAGAATAAACTCCTGTTTGTTAAGGCCATCCTGTTTGTGATATATTCTTGTCAGAGTGGCACTAGGTAACCAGAACAACCTACAAAGAAGATCAGTTAATACTACTGGTATTCAAATCTGCGCACCAACCACCAAAGCCAAAGATGAGGAAATGTGGAGACTTTCTTTTTTTTACCCAACTTCTGCAGTCTGAAATTGACCAAACATACAATCAAGATGTATTGATTATTACTGGTGATTAGAACACGAAAGTTGGAAACAGAGAAGCATCATTGGTAGTAGGAAAATGCGGTCTTGATGAGAGAGATGACACTGGAGACTGCATGATAGAATATTGCAAGACTAATGACTTACTCATTGCAAATACCTTTTTCAACAACATAAATAAATGGCAGCTATATAAGGTGACCTTGCCAAATGGAATACACAGGAATCATATTGACTACATCTGTGGAAAGAAGTGATGGAGAAGGTCCGTATCTTTAGTCAAAGCAAGGTCATGAGCTAACTGTAGAACAGACCATCAGTTGCTCACATGCAAGTTGAAGTTGAAGCTGAAGAAAATTAAAACAAGTCCACGAGAGCCAAGTATGACCTTGATTATATTCCATCTGAATCTGGAAATCATCTGAAGAATAGATTTGACACCCTGAACACCAGTGGCCAAAAACCAGATGAGTTGTGGGATGACATCAAGAGCATCATACATAGAAATTAATTAAAAAGACAGGGAAGGAGGACCAAAATAGATGTAAAGGAGACTGAAACTTGCTCTTGAATGGAGAATAGCTAAAGCAAATGGTAGAAATGATGAAATAAAGAGCTGAACAGATTTCGGAGGGCAGTTTGAGAAGACATAGGAAAGTATTATGATGAAATCTGCAAAGACCTGGAGTTAGAAAAACGAAAGGGAAGAACGTGCTCAGCATTTGTCAAGGTGAAAGAACTGAAGGAAGAATTCAAGTCTTGAGTTGTAATATTAAAGGATAGTATGGGCAAAATATTGACTGATGCATGCAGGAAGCATCAAAAGAAGATGAAAATAATACACAGAGTCATTGTACCAAAAAGAATTAGTTGGTGTTCAGCTGTTTCAGGAGATGGTATATGATCAAGAGCCAATGTTATTGAAGGAAAAAGTCCAAGCTGCACTGGAGGAATTGGTGAAAAATAAGACTTCAGGAATTTATGGTATACCCATTGAGATGTTTTAACAAATGGAAGCAGTGTCATTTGTGCAAAAAATTTGTCCAGCTGACTGGCAGAGATCTATATTTGTGCCCATTCCAATGAAAGGTGATCTAACAGAATGTGGAAATGATCGAACATTATCATTAATGGCACACATAAGTAACATTTTGCTAAAAATAATTTTAAAATGATTGCAGCAGTATGGTGACAGGGAACTTCCAGAAATGTAGGCTGGATTCAGAAGAGGACATGGAATGAAGGATATCATTGCTGATGTCAGATGGATCTTGGCAAAGAAATACCAGAAAGATGTTCACCTGTGTTTTACTGACTATGCAAAGGTGTTTGACTGTGTGGATTATAACAAATTATGGACAACATTGCAAAGAATGGGAATTCCAGAACACTTAATTGCGCTTATGAGGAATCTGTACGTAGACCAAGAAGCTGTTGTTCAAACAGAACAAGGGAATGCTGCGTGTTTTAAAATCAGGAAGGGTGTGCATCAGGACTGTATTCTTTAACTATACTTACTCAATGTGTGTGCTGAGCAAATAATCTGAGAAGCTGGACTGTATGAAGAAGAACATGGCATCTGGATTGAGGAAGACATATTAACAACCTGCAATATGCAGATGATACAACTTTGTTTGCTGAAGTTGAACTAACTTGAAATTCTTACTGATGAAGATCAAAGAGTACAGCCTTCAATATGGATTATATCTCACCATAAAGAAAACAAAAATCCTCCCAACTGGACCAGTAAGCAACATTACGATAAACAGAGGAAAGATTGAAGTTGTCATGGATTTCATTTTACTTGGACCCACAGTTAACACCATGGAAGGAGTAGTGAAGAAATAGACATCATGTTGCACTGGGCAGATCTGTTGCAAAAGACATCTTTCAAGTGTTAAGAATAGAATCAAAGATGCCACTTTGAAGGCTAAGATGGACTAACCCAAGCCATGGTGTTTTCAGTTGCCTCATATGCATGTGAAAGCTGGACAGTAAATAAGGAAGACAAAAGAGTCCATATTTTCCAATTTTGGTGCTGGTGAAGAATACTGGAAATACCATAGACTGCCAGAAGAATGAACAGATCTGTACTGGAACAAGTACAGCCAGAATGTTCCTTGGAAGCAAGAATGGTTAGTTTGTCTCACCTACTTTGGTCATGTTGTCAGAAGGAACCATTGCTTGGAGAAGAGGATATCATGCTTGGTAAAGTAGAGAGTCGGCAAAAGAGGGGAAGGCTCTCGACAAGATGGATTGACACAGTTCTTGCAACAGTGGCCTCAGATATAGCAAGGATTATGGGGCTAGTGCAGGACCGGGCAGAGTTTCATTCTGTTGTACATAGGGTCGCTATTAGTTGGAGCCCACTCTGCAGCACCTAGCAACAAAGTAGAGGGTCAACAAAGAAGGGAGGACCCTCAATGAGATGGATTGACACTGTGGCTGCAATGATGGGCTCAGGCATAGCAAGGATTATGAGGAGGATTCACAGCTGGGCAGTATTTCATTCTGTTGTATATGGGGTCTCTCTGAGTTGGAGCCAATTTGACAGCACCTAACAACAGTCTGGTAGCATAGTGGCTAAAGCACTTGACTGCTAACCAGAAGGCTGGCGGTTCAAATCCACCAGCCACTCCTCGGAAGGAAGGTTGGGCAATCCTACTTCCGTAGTGATACTGCCTCGGAAACCCAAGGAGGGGTCACTATGAGTCGGGGCCGACTCGACGGCACACAACAACAACAACAACAGTCTTGATGAAAGCAGACTGCTGCATTTTTCTCTTCCAGAGCAGGTGGTAGATTAAATGCTTAATCAATCACTCTGCCACCAGAGCTCCTTGTTCTTCAGTATAAACCAAACCAAAACCACACTCACTGCTATTGATTCATTTCCAACTCATAGCAACCCCCATTGGGTTTTCGACAGAAAATCTTTATGGCTGTAGATTACCTCATCTTTCCTCTGGGAGCTCTGGTGGCATAGTGCCTAAGGCATTTGTCTGCTAACCAGAAGGCTGGTGGTTCAAACCCACCAGCCACCCCTCAGAAGGAAGGTTGGGCAGTCTGCTTCCACTGCCCAACTTCCCAGTGATACCACCTGGGAAACCCAAGGAGGGATCCCCATGAGTCAGATCCAACTTAACGGCAGTGCTTTTGGTTTTTTTGTTTTTTCCCTCTGCAGAGTGGCTGGTAGGTTTGAACCACCAACCTTCTGGTTAGCAGGCAGATGCCTTAGTATGACCAGAGCTCCTTATTAGTCAATGTAGTCAGTGAAATTTAATATAAACTAATATATAATGTTTTTGTAGGTGGTATGTTTCCATATAAAAAACAGCTTGATTGCTAAAAAGAGGGATATATATTTCTGTCTGGTGAGAAAAACAGGGTCCCAGAATAATTAATGAGCTTCAAATGAAATTTTTTTGTGTGTGAGAAAAAAATATTATGATTTTTGTTTTGCAGCAAGTGAAGTCTTCTGTTGGGGGCAGAATAAATATGGCCAGTTGGGTTTAGGCCTTGACTGTAAAAAGCAGGCTTCGCCACAACTGATTAAGTCTCTCCTTGGAATCCCTTTCATGCAAGTTGCAGCAGGAGGAGCCCATAGTTTTGTACTCACCCTTTCTGGAGCTATCTTTGGGTGGGGACGCAACAAATTTGGTCAGCTAGGTCTTAATGATGAAAATGGTAAGTTCTCATTTCTAGTGAAATGTACTTCTTTAAAAAGAGACTCTTTTGAGATGGAGCAGTGATTCTTAGTGTCAGAGAGAGATACCCAGTTCTTTCATAGTAGGGAATTGAGTGATAAAATACTAATTTAAAAAACTACATTTGATGATAATATTTTGGGGGGCATGCAAAAAATACCTGTTTCTGAAAATAAACTATAGAAAGTGTATCTGGACAAAATACAGATGTAACTAGATCTTCGTTACAAGAAAATTGAATATAACTTCAAATTGTTAACTATAGAGTTGGAGCTCTGGTAGCATAGTGGCTAAGACACTTGCCTGCTAACCAGACGGCTGGCGGTTCAAACCCACCAGCCGCTCCTCAGAAGGAAGGTTGGGCAATCCTACTTCCGTAGTGATACTGCCTCGGAAACCCAAGGAGGGATCACTATGAGTCGGGTTTGACTTGACGGCACATAACAACAACAACAGAGTTGTTAAATTATTGGTTGCCATTAGTGAAAAGAAACTAAAATTATTCTGGGAAAGTAATATGAAGCATTAATCTATTTGAGTTTTTCGTGGACATAATTTAAATAATCTGGGTCATTAAACTAATCTTTGGTTGGGCTTCACTTTTAACACTGAAGCTAGAGTTTTGAAAATAAACATTTTGAATTTAAAAAAATTATCACTTCTTGTAACAAGTTGGCATCTTGGAACTTACGCTTCATTAGATTGAATGCCAATATCTGACCTATAAAAACTGCAATTTCATATAATTCATACTTTGTATGACTAAGATGACAACAAGTTGTTCTCGTAGCAATTAGTAATGATAAGAAAATCATAATGTTGGTAAGGATTAAAGAATATTTTGTTCTGCCTAAGAAAAATATGTCATATTAGAACATCTGTCTTTCCATGCTATAATGTAGCAGAAAATAAACTTTTCAGACTTTTAAGTAAGAATCCTGTCAGCATTATATGAGGCAAATACAAACAATGGCATGTATGTATGTGTAAAATTAGAAGCATTTAAATAATTCTCATATTTGTAGATTGTTGAGTCTTATGCAGATTGGTATATAAGCAGTTTAACACTTAAACTGATCTTTTTAATACCTACCTTTATCATATTAACATAAATACGCAAGCTTGGGAACCCAACTTAGTAGGCTTGTGCTATGAAATCATGGAATTGTAGTTAAAATTGTTTATCCATCATTGTCTACAAAGCTGAGGAAGTTATAGAGGAAATACATCCTAGAGGAGTTTTAAAAATAATATTAATGTGTCTTGTTGGAATTTTCAGATAGGTATGTTCCTAATTTGCTAAAGTCACTAAGATCTCAGAAAATAGTTTATATTTGTTGTGGAGAAGATCATACTGCTGCTCTAACCAAGGTATTGTACTTCTAAAACTTCTTTATTGCTATTCATAGTAGTTATTTATAATAATTGATAAATAATTCACAATATTTACATTAAAACTTGAGTGTTATTGATCTCAAAAATAATTTATTTTGAAAAAAGATTTAGATTATTCTAAAAAATGTGTCTACATTTTCATTTTCATTTTATAAAATGTGAGTTGTGATATATACTATTACTTGTGGTTGAGTTTCTCAGTTTATATGAAATACTGTGGAAATAATATTTTGAATGAGATACTTCCTTTGATGTTAATCAGGTTTGCTTGTGCTGTATGAATCCTAGTTATAGTGTAACTACGGTTAATTTTAATGTAATGCCATTTTGGCTTATACATATAATATAGGAGACAGAATCTCTGTTATCCATATAGAACTAGATGTTTGCTAAAAAGAAATTGAAACACTTTCAAGTTTTGAGCAAGCACTTATGCACTTTCTGCATCATCTTTTCAGTAGCTTTAACTCTGACCTCTCACTTTTCCCTTGGGTATACGCTAATGCATTGTCAGTGCTGCTTAGTTCTCCAGAGACCAGAAGTTAAATGAAAATACAAACATCCAACTTATCCTTGCTAGGAGCATTATTCATAGTAACTGTGTCAATGTAAGGAAATTGGCAAGTTTTTCATTGAGCAAACTAGAGATCACAGTTTTTCCTTTGTCTTTCTTTGCCCTGAATAGTAGATGGAGTTGGTGAGAAGAAATTAACTTCTAATCAGACTTTAAATTCTGCATCCTTAACTCCAAAATTGGGAATTTTAAAATGACTAAAAGTGTTCTTGGTCATTAGCACATATAGTATACTCAGGGCACTTAAAGCAATAGTATAATAACCAGTGTATAAAAGTTAATAAAAAAAAATTTATATTAACTTTTAGTAAGGAAGTTTTACCAAATTAGCCAATCTTAATACCAAATTTTATTGGTTTTGGAATTCAAAATAACAAATTCAGTCACTGAAGTCTTACTAATCATATTGGCAGAAGTGTTTGCTATGATTTCATGCCTTGTTTTAAAACATTTTTTGGTAGAAATAATAATAATGTTAATGCTTTTGAAATTCGGCCTTTCACATAATCACTCATCTTATTTTTCCAGGATAAGTATTTCTATTATTGATATTTTGAAATTCTTAATTCTATTACTCTCAGTATTCCTCTTAGAACTCAGTAGGTAGTGATATTTATTCACTGGAATTGTTAGTATGCACTGTATTTTTATGCTATTAAGTAGTATTAAATACCCTCATAATAAAATGTTTATGTTAAAAATGTAATTCTCCAACCATATAATTTTGTTTTTCTTGAAGAGTTGCTTGCAAATAAATTTGAATTGCTTTAAGAAGCAGCTTCCTTGTGCCACATCTACATCAAGAAACTACATTAAGGAAACCACATTAGAAAAGATTTAAAATCAGACTTGAATAAATGGAAAGACATGCTTTGTCAGTGGCTTCATAAGATACCAAAATTTTTCAGGTTCATTTACAAATTCAGTGTGGAAATCACATAAACATATACCTTTTGATTTGAAATTCTTCTAAGAATCTTTTCTGATAATGAAATTTGTATGCACATGCTTTATTTATTATAATAATACTATATTAATAGCAAAAGACTAGGCAAAATCCAAATATTCATTAGTAGCAACTTGGTTGAATAAATATGGTACATCTGTCTACTCAGTGGAATACCATTAACTATAAAACAGAATGAGAGGGTCTCTACGTAGTGCTTTGGAATGATTGCCAGGATATATTGTTGAAGTAAGAAGAGCATAGTACATAACAACGTATATAACATCTGTCTTTTGTATCAGAAAAGTGGTAAAATATGAACATACTACATGTTTATATATTTTTTAAATGGAAGAATAAATAAAAATTAATAGATACACCAAATATATATCATGCCTTATATTTTGTCTTTTATATGTATATATTAAAAGCAATTAAAAGTTGAAAAAATAAGCCTGACTATATAACAAGTTCACAGTACAACTATACAAAGAAGAATGGTTTTAAGAAACAGTATTTTGCCGTATATTCTTGTTGAGAAATAGCTTAAGGATAGGCCAAATCCACGAAGAAAGATTAAATGGTATTAATTAGTCTTATTGTTAGTAATAAAATTACTGTATTTTCAGTTTATATAGAGAAGGATAAAGCAAATACTGTTCTGTCACTAGAAACTATGATTTTCAGCCAAAGAGAAAAGAGATAGAGAATTACAGGAATTAAATAAAAATCACGTGATCTTTACTTTGAATCACAGGAATCCGTATGAACTCTTGATTTATTTTTCTTCTTCTAAAAAGTATTTTTTTCTAGCATGACCAGTGAACTGGCCTACCAGAAAGGAACTGGAAGCAGTGATCATCCCTTGATGGTTATAAATTCTCCACTAATAGGAACATGTTTATAATAATACTCCTTCCCCAAAATCAAATCAAAAAACAAAACAAATTTTATTGCTTATGTTAGGAGGTTGCTCAGACAAAAACTTCATTTTTTTCTAAAAATTGGTAAATAATGAGAAAGAATCAAATATTCATCTTCCTTTGATTTGCAAATTATATTTTATAATAACTTAATAATTAATGCAGGATAGTTTTCTGTAGAAGAATTCCAACTGATAAATCTGGAAAGGTTGGGCAATCCTACTTCCGTAGTGATAACTGCCTTGGAAACCCAAGGAGGGGTCGCTAGGAGTTGGGGCCAACTCTATGGCAAATAACAACAACAAAATCTGGAGAATTTGAAAATTACTATTTTGCCCTACCTGATGTAATCATGACTGTAAGCAAAAGTCAACAACATTAACCTTAATGGGAATACAGTAGGCTGATATACTTTGACCAGTTACCTGTTTTTACCATCACCAATCAGACATACTTTCTGACATGATCAATAAAATAGGGAAATTTAAACATGGCCTAGGTATGAAATGATATTTAGAAATTAATAATAATTTTATAATATGTAATAGTATTGTAGTTATATATTTTTTTAAATATATGATAATTTTGTAATACTAGTATTGTGGTTATATACATATTTTTGAATTCCTCATCTGTTAGAGATATGTGCCATTGAAAACACATAGACATTTATGGGTGATATTATTTGAAGACCACAGTTTGCTTTAAAGTACACTAGTGGCTCTTCACTACCAAAAAAGGAGAAAGGGAGATTATTAACCTTTTGTTCAGTTGAAACTGAGTGATGATTACATGATGGTTCATTATATATTTATTTTGTGTATTTAAAAATTTCCATGATAAAACGTTTTAAAGAGAAAAATCAGTTTCCAAACTTAGCTACATATAAAAATATCTCTATGATATTAAATGATGAAAAATTATAAAATTATACATAGAGTTAAAACTGTAAGGAATAGCAGTTGAATTGAAAAATAGTAAGTGTGCTTGTGTTAAGTTGTCATCACAGGTCAATTTCCTTTTTTTTACATGTAGTCCACTTGCATGTGAATTTTTTGAAAACCATGTCTACATTGTAGCAACTATATCTAAAAATAGCTATATTTTTATATTCTGGTTACATAACTCTTTGCAGAGCTTTCATGTTTAAAGCGTAACTGGCTTGAGAACTGAGAAAGATAACCAGTTTTAGGTTTTGTAAAATTTTATTGGTGTATACTTGAATTCAGTAAGAGAGTATGATAATAATGAATGGCACTGGAAGAAATAATTATTGGTATCTTTGTAGTGATAACTTCAACTAAATATTTTATAATGATGATAACATAATTAAGTGCTTTAAAAATATGTGAAACTACTTAGCCTTCAATCTGGGGGTCTTAGTTTTAAGATATTTTACTTTGAAAAGTTATGTATCATCTGGCTGTTAAATTATAAAGACAAAACTTGACTCCAATTATAGATCAGCTTATTTTTCCTGAAAAATAGTTATTTTATTAGCTTTTCTGATGATGATGGGTTTTGTCTTTTTTTAGGAAGGTGGAGTGTTTACTTTTGGAGCTGGAGGTTACGGTCAGTTGGGTCATAACTCTACCAGTCATGAAATAAACCCAAGGAAGGTTTTTGAACTTATGGGAAGTATTGTCACTCAGATTGCTTGCGGAAGGTAAGCTATTATATAAAAGAAGATTTTGGTCTTTGTAACACTCAGAATTAACAAATTGTTTAAGGATCTAGTAATCTAAAGTGAAACATTCTCCCTCAAATGCCTAATTTGCTGTTGAGGAGTCATGGTAACCAGTGAAACATCTTTTACACTGAACCTTTACCTTTTTTTCCTTAAAATAAATTTCTTTGAGGCAAGAGATTATAATATATATGTAATACTGTATTTATTGTATATAACATCACACTTGAAATATAACTGTAGTTTGTATTATCTACCAGCTTTTTTTCTTTCTTTAAAGGATGAGGAAATTGACCAGTAATAAGTAATATTTTAAGATAGATGATTAGTCGGTCAGTGTTAGAAATGGAGTTGAATCCTGATTTGATTCTTAATTCTTGGGAGTAAATAGATGAGATAGAGTTTTGAAACTGAGCTTCACTTCTTTTTTTTTTTTTTAACTGAGATTTGAATAAAAGTTTACAGAGAAAATTCACTTTTCATATAGCAGTTCACATACGTTTTGTCTCATGACATTGACTCCAATTTACCACAATGCAGCAACTCCCCTCCCACTTCCTTCCCATAGTTACCTCTTTACTGTGCCTTTCCCTCCATGCACTCCTGCCCACTGAGCTATGTCCCTGTGCATAAGCAGCCCTTCTATTCTGCCATGACTGATCTCTCCAAGGAGTGTATCTACCTAGAATAAATGTTCAGGTCATGTGCCTGTCTTTTGTCTGGCTGGAAGCCACAGGTATGGGTTCAGTTCCAGACCTGAAGGGCAGCTAGGACCCATAGTCTCAGTGGTTCCACCAGGCTCTATCAGACCAGCAAACCTGATCCTCCCCCCTTTTTTTCCCCCATATTATTTTGAGTTTTGTTCCACAGTGTTCTCCCTCTCTATCCAGGATCTCCTACATAGATCCCCTTCTGAGTGGTTAACAGTGGTAGCTGTGCACCATCTAGTTTTTCTGGTCTCATAGTCATATAGGCTGTGGATCATATGGTGTACCAGTCACTCGAACTAATTGTTTCCATGAGTCTTTGGTTTTCTTCATTCTTCTTTGCTCTGGATGAGGAGAAGACCCATTGTTGCATCTAAATGGCTGCTTGCAAGCTTTTAAGATCCCAGTCGCTACTTGCCAAAAGAAGGTAGAAAGTAGAAGGTGGAACAGTGTTTAGTGTAGTATGTTATATCAGTTGAGCTTAATGCCCCCTGCAACTATAGTCCCGGGCCCATAGGTTCAACTAAGCTGAGCTTCACTTCTGATGGCTTAAATTGAGCTGACTCTTTAATAGCAAAAGGTCCCTTTCTTTTTTTTTTCCTAATTTTAATGTGATTTGGATGTTTAAGGAGCAAATTCATCTTCCATACAGCATTTCACATACACTTTCCCACAGTGCAACAGCTGTCTTCTCACTTCCTCCCCATAGCCACCACTTCCCTGTGTCCTTCCCTCCCATACACTCCTGCCCTCCAAGCTGTCTCCCTGTGCATACACAGCCCTTCTATTCTCCCATGATTGATCTCTCCAAGGAGTGTATCTGCTTAGTGTAAATGTTCAGCTCATATGCCTGTCTTTTATTTTGCTGGAAGCCACAGGAGTGTGTGTGTTCAATTCTAAACCTGAAGGGCAGCTAGGTGCCATATTCTCAGGGGTTCCATCAGACTGGCAAACCTTGTCCCTTTTTTTATTTTTTTAAAGATTTTGAGTTTGTTCCACATTGTTCTCACACTCTATCCAGGATCTCCTATATAGATCCCCCTCTGAGTGGTTAACGGGTAGCTAGGCACCATCTAGTTCTTCTGGTCTCATAGTCGTATAGGCTGAGGCTCGCATGGTGGACAGTCCCTTGGACTAATTGTTTCCATGTGTCTTTGGTTTTCTTCATTCTTCTTTGCTTTGGATGAGGAGAGACCCATCGTTGCATCTAGATGGCTGCTTGTAAACTTTTAAGATCCTGGTCACTACTCGCCAAAGTAGGTGTGGAACAATGTTTTTGTGTAGTATGTTATGCCAATTGAGCTTGATGTCCCCTGCGACTGTGGTCCCCACCCCACAGGTCCAAGTACTTCCTCCCTCCAGGTAGTTCGCTGTGGCCAAGAAGTGACTACAACCTTGTCCTTTGTCAGCTCTCCTTGTTGTCGTCGTTGTTATGTGCCGTCGAGTTGGACTCAAGTCATAGCAACCTCTCCTTGGGTTTCTGAGGTGGTATCATTATGGAAGTGGATTTGAACTGCCAGTCTTCTGGTTAGCAGTCAAATGCCTTACGCACTATGCTACCAGAGCTCCTTCAGCTCTATTATATACCTGGAATTTTTACAGAACATATAAATACACTTGTAGGAACATTGTCTGCCAACCCCATACGTGGTCATGGGCACACTCCCCCCTGCCTAGACATACCTAATTGTACAGCCCATCCACCCACCTATCCACCTGTATATCAGTGTTTGTCATCGCTGACAATGCAGTACTGTATGAAAATACACATTTCTTAAGCAGTAGCTTAATTTTTTTATACCTTGTATATATCTTGATACAGTTGTTAATTTCAAATAGAATCACTTTTATCCCCCTGTCAGCATCATTCTTATTATGTATGTGTAACTTTGCTACCATTAATTTTCATTGCTGTATTTTATTCAGTTATATGAATACATGATAATTTATTTGCTCATTGTGTTGCTGATGGGTTTTTCTGATTTTTGGCAATTACAAATGCTGTTGTGAACATTGTTTTATTTATTATATGGTATGTATAAACCCTCATATTTCTCAACTGAATGGACTCTTTGGCGAGAGGATATTTCACTTGAATTTTGTGGGTTAGTGTTACACTGTTTTCCAGAATGATTGTAACAATTTACATTGCTACTAGTAATATATGAGACTATCTGATACTCTAGGACCTTGTCATCATTTGACTTTTAGACTTTAATTTTAGTCAGTCTCTTAGTTATGTAGTGTTATCTCATTATGATTTTAATTTGCATGTCCATCATTGAGTACTGTTATAATAATTGAATCATAGTTCTTTATATAGTTCTTCATTGGTATATGATTTACAAATAAATGTCTTTCCTCATTCTTTAGGTCTTGTCACTTTCTTTATATTGTCTTTTGTGGAACAGAAGTCTTAAATTTTAATGTAGCTACAGTTATTTATCTTCTTCTTTATGGTTAGAGCTTTTAGTTAAGAAATCTTTCCCTACCTAAAAACATAAGGACAGTCTTTCTTCTCTTAACCAACATAGTTAATGCCTTTTACATGGAGCAATATAACCTATCTGAAGTTATTTTTTTTCTTTAATGATGTTGAGGTGAGCGTTCAACTTTATATTTTGTCATATGAATAGTCAATTATCCTAATACCATTTTTTAAAAACTCCTTCCCTTCCCTGTAATTGGATGGTGGCCATAAATTATGTGCCATATATGCAGTCCCCAGATTATGAATGTCCGACTTACGTACAAGCTATACAACCTGAAAAATGAGCTCCATAAAGCCTATTATATTAGAAATTTAGGATACATGAAATGGTACATAACAACAAATGGATTCTACTTCGCCATGCACATCAAAATATCATCATCATCATTATTATTACTGTATTATTATGTTGAAAATGTTTTAGTGTTATCTGGAAGTGTTTCTTAATGTTTTTTATGAGTAGATATGTCCACATTCTGTTGGATTACCTTTCTTTGGCATAGACAGAAATAGGGATCTTAGCTAGTCAATTGGCCAGGTAGCTGTCTTTCAGGTTTCTTGGTATAAACAAGTGAGTGCCTCTCATGCTGCATCCATTTGTTGAAAAATAACTCAGTGTGTTGTCTATCAATACCTGAAGTCTTGCTTTTCACCAGTTCCTTCAGTGCAGCTTGGACAGAATGGAAATTATCAAACAGTATCATTAATACCATGTGCAAGTAAAATTTTGCTGAAGATAATTAGAAACAGTTGCACAGTACATTGACAGGGAACAGCTAGAAATTCAAGCCAGATTCAGAAGAGGATGTAGAATAAGGGATATCATTGCTGTGCTGTGTCAAATGGATCTTGGCTGAAAGCAAATACCAGAAAGATATATACCTGTGTTTTATTGACTATGCCAAGACATTCGACTGTGTGGATTGTAACAAATTATGGATGACAGTGCAAAGAATGAAAATTCAAGAACACTTAATGGTGCTCCTCAGGAACCTGTGCACAGACCAAGTAGCAGTTGTTCATACTGAACAAGGGGATACTGGATAGTTGAAAGTCAGGAAAGGTGTGTATCAGGGTTGTATCCTTTCACCATACTTACTCACTTAGTATGCTGAGCAAATAATCTTAAGAAGTTAGACTCTATGAAGAAGAATGCAGCAGCAGGATTGAAGGAAGACTCATTAACAACCTGTGATAGACAGATGACAAAACCTTGTTTCCTGAAAGTGAACAGGACTTGAAAGACTTAGTGATGAAAATCAAAGATCCTTCAGTATAGATTGCACCTCAACATAAAGAAAATAAAAATCCTCACAATTGGATCAGTAAACAACATCATGATAAATGGAGAAAAATTTGAAGTTGCCAGGGATTTCGTTTTCCTTGGATCCACAGTCAGCATCCCTGGAAGCTGTTGTAGTTAGGTGCAGTCGAGTCGTTTCCAACTCATAGTGACCCCATGCACAGCAGAACAAAATACCGCCCGATCCTGTGCCAGCTTCATGATCCTTGCTATATTTGAGCTCTTTGTTGAAGCCACCATGTCAGTCCATATCGTTGAGGGCCTTTCCCTCTTTTGTCGACCCTTCACCTTACCAAGCATGACATCCTTCTCCAGGGAATGGTCCCTTTTGACAACATGACCAAAATAGGTGAGATGAAGTCTGGCCATTGTTGGTTCAAAGGAGCATCTCGGCTGCACTTCCTCCAGGACAAATCTGTTAGTCCTTTTAGCAGTCCATGGTATTTCGCCAGCACCACAACTCAAAAGCATCAACTCT